AATGCAATAAAAAAATAAAGCTATTGACAGATTAATCTCACTTTTATTGTAAACTTAGAGTTTTCTGGCACATGGAGTACTATTTAGTTGAGTGGGAAGCTTATTTTGGATGTGACTTTAAGTGTACTTGCGTAGTATTTTACACTTTCACAATCCCATCTGTTAGTTTCATTTCAATTCAACAACATGTATTAAGCCCCTATTCTGAGGATACAGGAGTGATTAAGACACAAAGATGGCACAGCCTAGTGGGAATGACAGATGAAAACAAGCATGTACCACAGGGCATGACAGGTGCTCTTTTAGAAGGAGAATATCAAATTCAAATGAAGTAGATATTATTATTCTTCATTTTCTTAAGAAATATCTTTTGTGAACATTTTATGAGCCAATAAATGAAATCTCAGAGTAATTAATACTTGTAGTCACATAGCCAGTGGGTTACAGGGCAGAGATTCCCTCCCAGGGGATCTGACTCTACTACAACTTAGCTTAGACACTAGGGTAGGACCACGTCAGGGTTCAGCTCCATCTCTGTGTTTGCCAACTGGTACCTGCCTGTTGAACTCAATAGTAGCTACACAGCTTTACTATCCATCCATCCACCCATCCATCATCCAACCATCCACCCACCCACTCACTTATTCATTTATGGCATGTATTGAACACCGATTACATGCAGTCAATCCAGGAAGGCCCTGAAGTGAATAGAGGACAGGCTGTACCAAGCTGTAGTTTCAGAGGCTTCAGAGCATGCAGCACTGCGGTGAGAAACAAGGATCAGAGGAAGCCCTCTTGTCTTCCGTACTCACCTTGAAGTCTTTTGAAGTTGAAGTGCCTCACACTCCCCCTTTTTATGATCATTATCTGCTTAATGAAAACATTATTTAAAAGACTATTTTGTTTTTCTACCTAAACAATCACCCAATACACTTCAAGCTATCTTTCACTTATTACAAAAGCATGTGGAGAGATTACAACTCAGTCCCTCTCCATCGTTTCCCACCTTATCTCTGACCCCCAAATATTATTTCTTTGAAAACACACAAACTTTGCTTTTCTACCTACCGTGGCTCCATAGCTTTCTAGTCTTGCAGAGGGTCCTCATTTATATCAGTAAATCTCTAGCATCACTCATGTGTGCTTTGAAATATTTTCAGTGGCCAAAGAGTACTGAGAGTAAAAAAGGAATGTAACAGGAGTGATTCAACAAGCACGTAAATTAAAATTCCCAAGCAGTAGAGAATAAATCCCTACATGTTGGCTTAACATGCACGAACCGGGCTGTGAACATACTTAGGAGGCCACTCACTCTGCCTCACTGTGACATTTTGAATCTGCAAGTGTCAGAGCAGATTTGCCGCAGAGCTGGAGACCTTGGCAAGATTCCAGAGCATGTTACACAGCAGGGGTGGTGATAAATAACACAGATAGTCTCTTGGTGCAATGGGATCCGAACCAAAGAGATGCACCCTACCGCTATTCAGAGCACATAAACATACGTGGGGGAACCTCAGAAATAATTCCTAAAACAAAAATGGGAGGGAAACATTTAAAAGTGGCATGTTCCAACTAATTAGTGCTGGAAGATGAGTTGGTGCCATCAGTGGACTTATTAAATTAGGCCTGGGTGGCAGGATCCTCTAAGGCAGAGGGGCACGTCGGTTGTTGCTAGAGTTGGGATTTTTAAGTATCATAATGCTTCAAAGGGATCACACATTACCTAGAAACAAGATGACACTAAACCACTAAACCAAGAGAGGCTCCCTTCTGAGCCACTGAAGCTACTTTGTTCATATGGCTTTGTAGTAGCAGAAAGTACAACTTTAGAAAACCAGTGCTCTCAATGAACACTTGAGATACACCACAACATAGCTCCCCACCCCCAGGCTCTCTAGAATAGAATTTTAGCATATTGGGAAATAATAATGTTTGGAACTTCTCTGACGATTTCTTTCCCCCAAGATGTAACAGGTCAAATATTCAGTACCTATTAGGTCCTGTGACATTCCAAATGCTCAGTGAGTGGAATACATTTAGGCTCAGTGCTTTTATACCTGCAAGGTGTGGGCTTGTTACTTAATTTCTCGAAGCCAAACGTTCCTCATCTTTAAAGTGGGGTTAATAAAACTGTGCTGCTTATTGTGAGGTCTAAATGAGAGAATGTTTGTCAAGTGCTTAACACGGCACATGGAAAGACAGTATTCATGATATCATGACCTATTCGATCAATAGTTTTTTTAGAGGGCTGTGTATGCCAGGATTGTGGGAGTTTGGTGGAAGGGATTAAGAATGCTTTGAACAATTACTGTATTCAAAAATGTCTCATTTGTAGTCTACCAAACTCACATAATAAACAGTGGTCTTATTTTGATGTGGTCTGAGAGAGATGTGCAAAGAGTTTTTAGCAAATTATATTTGCTCTGATTTTCCAAACAGGAATTTTTGGATTTCCTATGAATTCCTTCACTACATCATGGGATGTGTCTTTCAGAAATTGTTACACCTACCTTTACAGTATTGCTTTATGGTTTTCAGAGTACCTTATAATTCCTAATTAGCTTTTCTTTATGAGGCTGAATCCATTTTTCCACATGTTGGTAGATAACTTGGGGGTGTTAATCTGACACCAAATAAGCACTTTTTTCAAGATCAAAGAGCAAATGTTTGATAGGGACAGAACTGGCTGAGCTTAGGGTTTCCAGTAATCAGTGTGAACAATTCTTCCTTCCTCAGAGATAAGCAAAGGAGCTTCTTTGAGCAAAGGGTAAATCTCTGTGACTGAGAGGAGTGGTGGTTCTCAAAGTATGAATGAGAACCTGTGAGAGTCCCTAAGACATTTTGGGAGGCCAACAAGGCCAGGGGTCCTCCTTCCTCCATTACAGATCTATGTAAGGGCAGATCTGCTTCAAATACTTCAGCCAAACCACATACCACATCAGAGTGAAGGGAGAAGCAGGTGTGGGGATCCAGCTTGCTCCTATTAAGCCCAACACTTAATGAGCTTCACAAAAATGTAAAGCAATGCGACTGCTCTCACTAAAAATTGCATGTTTTAGAAAATATAGTAATTTAATAAAAATATGTATTTATGCTAACATGTAAAGGGTTTATTATTTTAAATGAATTAATAGTACCTATCTTAAAGTTATTTTAACTTTTATTTTTAATATGGTGCATAGCAATAGATAGAACTCACACAAACAAAGGCTTTTTTGGGTCTTCAATAATTTTTTTTTTTTTTTTTTTTTGAGGCAGAGCCTCGCTCTGTCACCCAGTTTGGAGTGTAGTGGAGCAGTCGTGGCCTCAGCTCACTGCAACCTCCACCTCCCAGGTTCAAGCAATTCTCCTGCCTCAGCTTCTCAAGTAGCTGGGACTACAGGCACACGTGACTATGCCCAGCTAACTTTTGTATATTTAGTAGAGACGGGGTTTCACCATGTTGGTCAGGCTGGTCTCAATCTCCTGACCTTGTGATCTGCCCACCTCGGCCTCCCATGGTGCTGGGATTACAGGTGTGAGCCACTGTGCCCGGCCAATAATTTTTAAAAGTATAAAGGGGTCCTGAGATCAAAAAATTTGAGCCCCATTCTCCTAGACATTTGGGCTTCTATTTAGGGGTTTGGAATGTTTCCGTTAGCTGACAGTTCTCAGACTTAAAGACAAAAACGAAAAACTTACCATACTACTGTTTGTGAAAAACATTAAGATGAAACTCCCTTTTTTTTTTTTTCTGGGAAAGAAAAAGATCCCACGGGGTCTGAGTACTCCCTTCTCCCCAACTAGAGGAGCCTGTAGTTCAAAGGGCACTATTGGGCTAGCGGGAACTACTCCTCAGACAGTCACCATGAAATCTGTTACCTGGGAGTCAGAGAGCCTGGAGGTGGATGGGGATAATCCTCGCTCATTAACACGTGAACATAGATTCGCATAACACTGTGTTCATTGTCATACCAGGCTCTTTGGGAAATAGAACCTCAGGGTTCAAAATTCAAGCCAGATTAAGTTTTGGGGAAAGAATGGGAATAAACTGCAAATGCTCCTGGGGTCCACAACGGAGGCACCATGGAGCTGAAGAGTGGGAGGCGAAGAAAGCAGGACCGAAGCCCCACGTCATCTCTTCCATAATTTTACATCATCCTGGCATGGACAAAAGAGTGCTGAGGGTGAATGAGAAAGCCGATGAGGAAGAACAATCAGGAAAAGATGAGGCCAGAGGAGATCCACAGGGAAGGAGTGCTGCCGCTCCACCTGACAGCTGCTGAGTTTCAGTTCTGCCAGCTGTGATCTCTCCAAAACCTGGAACCAGGGGTTAGGACACTGCTGGGAAACACTATGGACTGTACTCTTGGTTCTTGGCCCTGGGAAGGTTTAGCACATGATGGCTATTGCTTGCCATCAGATTTTTCTGAATGCATCGACTTGAAGATGCACTGTCGACTGGTTGAAACGGAATGGCATATTGGTTAAGGTGTGACAAAGATGATGATCAATGTGTATATTTGGTGGAGAAAGATGATAATTTTTGTTTTGAATTTGATCAGCTTGAGAGGCTGCAGCTGGGTAGAGATGCCCAATAGACAGAAATCAATATCTTTCCCAGCACTTTGGGAGGCTGAAGTAGGTGGATCATGAGGTCAGGAGTTCGAGACCAGCCTGGCCAATATGGTGAAACACCGTCTCTACTAAAAATACAAAAATTAGCCGGGCGTGGTGGCGTGCATCTGTAATCCCAGCTACTCAGGAGGCTGAGAGAGGAGAATTGCTTGAACCCAGGAGGCAGAGGCTGCAGTGAGCTGAGATTGTGCCACTGTACTCCAGCCTGGGAGACAGAATGAGACTGTCTCAAAAAAATAAATAAATAAAATAAAATAAATCAGTATCCAGATCTTGGGCAAAGGGTTGTGTGGGATGTGTTGTCTTGGGAATCAGCATCATATAGAAATGGTAGAAGCTGTGAATCAACGAAATGATTTTAATAACTGCATCTCTTTTATTAGCTCTTCCATGTGGCCTATATTTTAATCAAATTTGCAAATTCTCCTCGCCCTGATCTGTGGGTCTTGGAAAGATCTGTAGACTTTGGAAGCACCTACTCACCATGGCAATATTTTGCTCGTAAGTAATCTTGCCTACCATGTTATGAGTGGCTTTAATTACTTGGAACAGTTCAAGACTATTGATTTAACTTGAAAATTAATCTCGGCCGGGCAAGGTGGCTCACACCTATAATCCCAGCACTTTGGGAGGCAAAGGCTGGTAGATTACCTGAGGTCAGGAGTTTGAGACCAGCCCATGGCAAAACCCTGTCTCTCTATTAAAAATACAAAAATTAGCCAGGCATAGTGGGCCTATTGTCCCAGCTACTTGGGAGGCTGAGGCCGGAGTATTGCTTGAACCCAGGAAGTGGAGGTTGCAGTAAGCCAAGATTGTGCCACTGCACTGCAGCCTGGGTGACACAGTGAGACTCCGTCTCAGAAAGAAAAAAGCAAAGAAAAAAAAATTAATTTCTCAGTAGCACTAGTTAGGGACCAGCCACTTTTAACCTCTAAATTACTCTCAGAACATTGGCTGGGCGTAGTGGCCCACGCCTGTAATCCCAGCACTTTGAGAAGCCAAGGCAGGCAGATCACTTCAGGTCAGGAGTTCAAGACCAGCCTGGCCAACATGGTGAAACCTCGTCTCTACTAAAAATACAAAAATAAGCAGGGTGTGATGGTGTGCACCTGTGGTACCAGCTACTTAGGAGGGGCAAGTGGGAGAATCGCTTGAACCCAGTAGGCGGAGGTTGCAATGAGCTGACATTGTGCCACTGCACTCCAGCCTGGGTGACAGAGTGAGTTACTGTCTCAGAAAAAAAAAAAAAAGAATATCCCAATTTCTCAAGCATATGTTCAATAATTCCAAGGATACCACATGCAGAACTGAAGTAGAAACTCCTTTTATGATAACAGTTCTTGGTGCTATTTGGGAGTACTTATAACTGGACCATAGCTCCAATCTTTTTCCTTTTATGCAGAATTAGAAACTAAGTTCTATCCTTATAGATTCTGTGCTGTGATTTACTTACTTTGACTCTGTTATCTTCTGTAATGAAGAATGTCAGGGTTTCTGAACCCTATGATGAATGGAGGTGGACAAGAATTTTGCTTATACAGGCATTGGGTTTTCCACTAGGTTTCCTTAGAAGATAAACTTGCCTAAGTGGGAGCGCGGAGTTAGCACTGCACCTCCAAGCATTGCCACTGAAAGTCCAATTGGCCTGAAATGGCTTGGTATTTTCTTTCATGAATTAAAAACTCCATTCTCAGCTTTTCTCTAAAAGTTTTAAATGCCTTGCTGTTCTTTCTTTCTTTGTGTATTTCTTAAGGAAACATAAGGCTTCTTAAGAGATTTGTAACAAAATGATAACATTTTATTTTATAATATTAACATATTTTCCTTCTAGACTCTAAAGTAGACTGTTTAGAAGAATTTGGGCGGGAGGCAAATATGGCTGTCACCCGAGATGACGATGTACTTTGTGTTACTGAATACTCCCGTATTGTACCTTTGGAAAATGGTGAGGTAAGTAGATTTGGAAGACTGGGAGAGACTCAGAAATGAACATGAGGCTATCCAATTTTTTCATAAATGTGAAATTTGCACTTTCAAGGACATCTAACATAGATCAAGATATCAAAATGGAAACAGGGCTTGGGACCGAACAGTAAAGGAATCACATTGAAGGCTCCCAGAATGAACTGGGTTGGAAATTCTGCGGGGGGATTTCAGTTATCCCCAGAAAGTCAGAATTCTTGATTCAAGGCGCACAGGTCTTGAACTGTCCTCTCTGGTGATGTATTTAGAAAGTGGGCTGCTGGTAACAGAAATGATGACCCTTACCCTTCACCCATGATACCATGATCCCTAGTAAGAGTGAGGAGAGGAGGGGCAGGTGGCAGCAGGTAGGTTTTCTCTATATGTTCTTTTCCCTCATCTGACGACCAGATGTAGGGGATCCAGAAGAGGACTCTGAGGTCCTACAGAATGGCTGCACCTCTAGATAGAAAGAGCCTGCTTCCCTGAATGACTGTGTGGAGCCGATCCTACCTGATCCTTGATCCCTTTTGGTACAATGGACAGAATCTGTTGGAGAGAAAAAATTGCTGTCCCTATGGGGTTGCATTCGGCCCTTGTAAAGTTAGCTTGGCTATTGTTAGGGGGAGACAGGCAAACAAAGGTTAAACAATCAGAGAAGATTTCCAAGGAAATTGTGAGGCCATAATGAATATGAGCTCAGTTTCAAATAAACTTCCATCAAAGGTGTCAGCCTCCCTCTCTTTAAGTAGAGGGATCATACTTGAGCATCTGTATGCAGTATCTTCTGGCAACTCATGAGTGGTTCATATTTCCAATGGCTGAACTTGGACTTCGTCACTTTGAGCCTTAAAACAAAATGGAGGGTTTATATAGATTTTTTTTTTTAGCCCCACTAGTGTCAAACTTTAGAGATTTCCTGTTTTCAACCTCATGTATATTTTTGAATTACTTTAGCTTTGTTTATTTGATGCAGCTTAACAAAGTTGTATCCTTATATTTACAGATTTTAACAGTATGTTTTCAACATTTTATAGTATTACAGTCCCACAACTACACTGATAGAACAAAGGCTTTGAAAATGAAATGACAACATCTCCCAAGAGCCCAGCTTTCAAAGATATATTGCCGGAACTCGGAACCAGGAAGTGGGAGGGAAGATGGGACTACCAATGATGTTTTTAGACGTAAACCAGACCCAAAACCCCCTACTAACATGGAGTGGCTCAAAGAAACCAAGTGCTTTGGGGGGGAGTTATTTTTGTTTACTTGCTGCTAAATTTTGATAAAAGGAACTTTTTCCCCCTTTTATATGTGTGTGGTCATTTTAGGTTGTGGTGTCCCTGATAAACGGTCGTCCAGGTGCCAAAAATTTTACCTTCTCTCACACCCTGAGGGAGTTTACCAAGGCAACAAATATCCGCTTGCGTTTTCTTCGGACTAACACCCTTCTTGGACACCTCATCTCCAAAGCACAGAGAGATCCAACTGTCACTCGGCGGGTGAGTAGTCAGAGCATTTGTTTTGTGACTTTATGTATTCATGTTTTTGGCTTATCAAATTAATTGCCTTGATCTCTTTTAAGTAACGTTTATAGTCAGTAATGATGTAGGTGTGGGGGTTGTTCTTGTCTGAAATACTAGATACAATTAAAAGTTTATGTCTAATGGCTTATAAAAATGCCTGTGTGAAGAAAAATCATTATATCCAAAGACAATGAAAAACAAATGATTATAGTCAGCCTGGTATTAGTCTGGATGGGAAAATTAATACTACAGCCAACAATCCCCAAATCTCAGTGGCTTAACAACATTTCTTGCTCCTATTACAGTTCAACATGGGTTAGCAGGTGGGATTGGCTCCACACAGTCATTCAGGGAAGCAGGTTCTTTCTATCTAGAGGTGCAGCCATTCTGTAGGACCTCAGAGTTCTGCTCTGGATCCCCTAATTCTTGGTCATCAGATGAGGGAAGAGAGAGTATAGAGAAAAAATCCACCTGCTTCTCATCAGAGGTTACTTCCATGGGCAAGAGCTGGTCATATTATAACCTCACTTAGATGCAAGTGGTGGGTGATGTCATCTAGCTGAAATGGGGGACACATAGGTACCGGTGAGCACTAGTACCCTCTACTTTGTTGGAAGTCCACCATGAACATCTCACACTCTCGGGTGTCAGGGCAGTACACTGGTCTCCTTGGCACATACGTTGAGCTCACTCTTCTTCCACCCTCTGATCCGCCAGTGCCTTCCATTGGCCAAACCAAACAAGAAGCCAAAGAGAAAGACAGGCCATTGGTTGTAGCCATAAAGTTCAGCTGCAGGGCACAGGACAGGGTGGAGAAGGTGGAGAGCAGACCTGGAAGGGTGGATGGAAGATGCCTAGTGCACCTTATAGAGCTTGGCATTTTATACAGGTAACATCAGAGAGCTGGGAACGGAAGGGAGGGGAAAACGTAAGCGTTGCCATAGTTCTGAGCATTTTTCACAAAGGCAGGCACCTTGGGTGTAGGTGGCCCATCTTTTGTATTTTCTGCTCTCCTCAGCTCCCTCTGAGCTTCTGTATAGTGGGGACTGTGTTGAATCTGAGGATGGAGGTTTACAAGGGAGAGCTGGACTTTCTCATAAACTATAGCTGGGCTGTATTTCCATTCTTCCATATGCCCTGCAGCACTGCCACAATGTATCTTACCAATTTTTTTTTCTTGAATTGTCCTTTTGGGGGTTGCAAGATTTACAGTCATATATATCTATGTAGATTACTTTTCACTTAGATGAATACAGGCCTCTCCATTAAGTAATTTTTTTTTTTTTTTTTTTTTTTTAGACAGAGCCTCACTCTGTCACCCAGGCTGGAGTACAGTGGTATGATCTTGGCTCACTGCAACCTCCACCTCCCTGGTTCAAGCAATTCCCCTGCCTCAGCCTCCCAAATAGCTGAGATTACAAGCACATGCCCCATGCCTAGCTAATTTTTTTGTATTTTTAGTAGAGATGGGGTTTCACCATGTTGGCCAGACTGGTCTCGAACTCCTGATCTCAGGCAATCCATCTGCCTCAGCCTCCCAAAGTGCTGGGATTATAGAAGTAATTTTTTTTTATGGAGTGCACCACGTACATAATCTTAACACCCCAAGTTTAGGTTGTTTCTTTCATGGAGGAATATGATACCAGCTACCTTAGGACACAGATCCTATGTGCTGCTGGGTGAAGGCTGACTGGGGGCTTCTTTTGCTGCTGCTGCCCTTAACACACGTGGAGAGGAACTTCTACAGTGGCCAGCAGGAAAGCCCCTGAATGTTAATTTGTCACAAAAAGCCATGGTAATACTGACTTTATCTGCATTAACAAGGGGAGCTGTTAATGGCTTTAGACTAAGTTAGATTTCCAGGAAGTATTGACACTTTCACAGGTTTTAATTAGGGAACCAAGCCAGAACCCCAACATTAAATCATAGGGCTCCTAAAGGTGACCACACTCAGCGACAACAACAACAATAAAGATACAAAAACCCTCTTGTCCTCGTGAATTCAAAGACTTCTTGCTACAGACATTCTTCTCACTAGCAGCATGGCCTCAATGAGAAAGGTTGTTCTAGAGGCCTCACATTCCTCGCAAATCCTGGGCAGTCTCCTGCCAAGTCTGAGAAGAAAGGGAGCTGGCAGGGGGAGCTGCCTATTGTCACTGCAGAGGCCTCCAATGTATGAGAGAGGGGCTTGTCAATGAGAGAGTCTACCCATATTTGTGGCCGGGTTTAGGGGCCGATCCTCAGCTGGACCTGAGCTGGCTGTGTCTGGCATTTCTGGAGCTTGAAACTTTGACTAGCCTTTGTGACCCTGTGCTAGGAAGGTTTCCACAAATACTGGTGGCCTCTCTAGTCTCAGAGATGTATTGGATCCATCTCTGTAAATATTATCTCTCCTCCTGGAACCTGGGGTAGTATTTTGCACATAGCAGGTACAACATTTTTGGTATAAAAATTGAGTTTTGATAAATATTTTCAACATATAAAATTCATGTGTATAGAACATAATGTAAAAATTATTTTAATTTACATAAGAAGTAAACTTGGAAGTTCTTAATCCCTTTTTTATAGGCTATAAAGTATGATTCTTTTCTAAGGCAATTTCCCTTCATGAACTTCAAGCATTTGATTTTCTTAAATCCACAAATTCAGCAGTATGTTATCAAATTTGATTGAGGAATGCATTTGTTTTATGAGACATGTGACATCCCAATGTAGGGCTCAAGAATCCAGAATTTTAAAAGGGAAGCAGAGTCAACAGATGTGGGTTAAAGACTAGTAAGAGAAAGTTGTCACTGTTCAGTGAAACTTGCGTGTTCTGTGTTCTGTTGTGCAGTATTATTACAGCATAAAGGACATCAGCATTGGTGGGCGGTGTGTTTGCAATGGCCATGCTGAAGTGTGCAATGCAAACAATCCTGAAAAACTGTAAGTACACTGTGCAGATTATTTTCAGCCTTACTATGAATAAGTCTAATTATTTCAGTGGATGTTTGCATATCATTAAATGTTCCTAGGTTCCTGCCCTCAATAGGAATGATTCAGGATCAATGAATAGGTGGTGGGGTGTGCCTCCTCTCCACCAGCTCTCCACTGTCTTCCACAAAACCCCTGTGAGCCCTGGCAGACATGGCTACTCAATTACAGCACTCTGGGTAATCTGTGTCCCAGTCACCAAATCATCCCCAAGACGTACCTCAGGCAACCAATTGATTAGAGCTAGCAAGAGAAATAAAACTTGTCCTTCTTGGTTTAATGGGATCAGGATACACATTTCAAACCCTTGTTTTTTTAATTTTGGTAAAATACACATCAAATTGACTATTGTAACCACTTTAAAGTGACAGTTCAGTGGTGGTAACTACATTCACATTGTTGTCCAACCAATCTCCAGAAGTCTTCATTTTGCAAAACTGAAATTCTATACCCATTAAACACCTCCTTGTTTCCTCCTACCCCCAGCCCCTGGCAACCATCATGATGACCCTAGTTACCTCATATAAGTGGAATCATACAGTATTTGTCCTTTTGCAATAAATACTGGCTTATTAAATTTGCCATCACTTATTTAATTTAGCATAATGTCCTCAAGGCTCATCCATATTGAGCATGTTTCAGAATTTTCTTCCTGTTCAGGGCTGAACAGTATTTCCTTGTATATATGTATACGCTACATTCTGTTTATCCATTCATCCATGGATACACACATGGGGTGCTTCCACCTTTTGACTATTGTGAGTAATGCTGCTGTGAACATGAATGCACCCTTTTTGTTTTTAATTCGAGTATATTTTGCCTACAATAAGATGGATGAGTCTTAGATGTTAAGTGTTCAGCAATACATTTGTGTTACCACTGTAAGAGGGATACTTTGAAGGGCTGGAAATTATCAGATGCCAGATATGGTAATCATTTTATCTCCATGTTTAAATCATAGTCTCCAATATTTCATGAACAGCATTTACCAGAGATGTTTTTCACTTTTAGTCAGATTCAGGCTAGCTTTGTGTTCAGGCAGAATTGCTAGCTCTCAAGGTCTGTGACGTGCTTTGTGGGCCCTTCTCCTTGACCACCCATAACAACGTTAGGTTGTTGTCCCACCTTCAAGGATCCACCAGTGCTGTTGAGAGAGAGTGTACACACCAACTGATTAACCATTAGTGGAAAATGACTTGTCTGTTAATGGCTAATCTATTTCCACCCTGTAACTTCCTGTCTCCCTAAGACACTAGAAATCAGGTCAAATAAGTTCAGAGTGGGAGAGGGGAGAGAAAAGGTCCAGCTAATGTTCCTGAGCCTGGAACAAAATAGTGCCCTGTGGGAAAGGAGTACATGCCATCACAGAGGGCATGAGCTTCCTGCTTAGAAAGGCTATTGAACCCTGGACACCCTGGCAGAGCTGGAGAAGTTCTACACTGGGTGGTTAATTCTCCCAATACATGTGTGGAGGTCTCCTCAAGCCTTAGTGAAAGGCTCAGTTTGGCAGCAATCTACTTCAACGTGACTGCCTGCCTTTCTTTGTCTGCTAGTTTGCTTCAGCTGACCTTGAACAAATGCTGATGAAATCCACATCCGTGATGAGGTAGAAATCCTGTAATAATTTAATGGGATTCAGAAACTTAATGGGCGGAGCCAAGCCCAGACAATCAGAAAAGTTACTTGCTAATGCGGCAGAACCCAAGAAGAGGGCTTCAACCAAGCACGTATACCACGTTGACCTTGCTGCATGGATAAGTTGAAAGACCGCATATTTAATTTTGAGCTTCCTAGCAGCCAATTCAAAAAAGGGAAACCTGCTTGGTTTCATATTTCACTATGATCATAAGCTAAAAAGTAATAAGTTACTTAGAAGAAACAGGATTGTTGACATTAGTACCAAATAAGAATTTTTCCTAGGCGTGGGGTGGAGTGGTCATCACAAGGGGAATTCTCTAATTAATGACATCTTTATATAACATCTTACAGCAGATATATTATTAACCATTAGCCTGGGCCGCAAGAGAGGAAAAGCAGTGATTTGGCAGTGTCAATGGGACTCAAATGAGCACCCAGGCCTTTTCTTGCTATGCTCAATTTTAATCCTCTTACGTGTGTAGTTGGACTACATGTTCTTGAAGCAGTCTTCCCTAAATAATATTGTAGTCCAGCTAATGCCAAATGTTTGATGGGCAATGTGCTGAAATTGCCTCTCCAACAGGACCCCATTTGGATGCCAGTTGTTCTGTGCTGCCAGGTGGATCCACGCACGTGAGCTTTAGCAGGCAGCCGAGCATGGAGAGTGATGACACCTTCTCTTGGGAATACAACTGAATATATGCCACACCACCTTCCCTTAGAGAAGAGGTGATGGAATCCCTACAGGCACAGCCAAGAGCCTTCTTAGACAAGGTTTCTTTTAAATAGTCTCAGGTCTTTATTTGACTGAAACTGAACACTGCACGTTTTTCATATTAAAAAAAAAAAAAGCTCTTTGCTCAATGCAGCACAAACGGTGGCATGCAGGGACACCCCCGCCCCCCCCCCCCCAAAAAAAAAAAAAAACAACCAAAACCCAAAGCCTCCTTCATATTCACAATATTCACAAAGCACCAGCTATGGAGTCAAGCATCTTGGTTTAGATTTAGTCTCTTTGCCTACAGTCGCGACTTTTGTTAAGTGAGTTTATCTCTGAGCACCAGTATGGTCATCCACAAAGTGGGGCAAGGTCCACCTATCACAGTGAGACAGAAAAGAGGCTCCAAAACTGAGAGCTGCCCTCACAGTAGATGTTGTAAGCACTGGACAAGGACTCCAGAATCCTGGTGCTACCAGCCCACTTCACCTGAGCCACAGCATCCCAGGCTCGGGAGTGCCAGGACTCTGGGGAGCTCCGGACATGGAGCCTGCACCCAGCCCTTCCCCAACCACTTAGCAACTACGTGCTCTCAGTGCTGGTGGCCTCCTCAGTCCCCTCTGAGCCTCCCTGCTTCCCCTCCTCGCCCCCCGCCCCTCCTCGCCCCAGTAACTGGCAGAAGCACCCGGGTGAATTCTGGGTCTGGGAGCTCCAGACTCTGAGGCCTGGGGCCTGGACAACAATGCCAGGCCCTCCTCCAACGGGGAGGCGGGTGCTTCCCCACGCACCCAGCTTCCTGGACCAACCCAGCCGGGAATTAGAAGCCTACCATGCGCCAGGACGCACGCCCCTAGGAAAACAACCACGCCGCAGCTCGGAGGCCTGCCACGGGCAACCGGAACTTTTGGGCAGGTTCTTTTCTGGCGCACCTTACCTCAGGCCCTGGGCCTCGCCTGGCTCATGCTCCACGTGCTTCAGGCCATCTCCCCACCCCTTCATGCCCTCCGGCCCCCTCCTGGCTCCCACTCTTCCAGATCCAGCAGCTCTTTCCACTCGCTCAGACCTCCAGCCTGCTTGGTGCTCTCCAGCATGCCCAGCTGCAGCAGGATTCCCTCCTCAAACCCCTCCACTCCCCCTCCTCCTCCCCAGCCCCCTCCCTCACTGCCACCAGGCCCTGCCTGGCTACACTCCAGCTCCCCCCCAGCAGTTGCCAAAAAGATAGTTCTGAGGCTTCAGGGGGCTCATCCATCGAATCTTCTTTGGGGTGGTGGCACGCCCTTAGGTGAGAGGCAAGGCCGACAGAGAGGAATGACTCCTGCCCCTCCTGGACAGATGTGCAGGACAGAATCACCCTGGGGCTGGACAATGGTTTTGAATGGTTTTCAAGCATGGAAGGAGGGAGCTCAAAGCTTGGAGTTCCAATCCAAAGCCAAGGCTGAAACAATTTCATTTTAACTTGGAATGTGAAGGCAGATGTACACCCCTTTGAACTGAGATTTTTAACCCTTTGCCTTGCTGAGTGGTCTCAGCTTTTGGCCCCGTAATGGAGCTGGTGCAGCCTCTGGAAGCAGAGCCTTCTGGGATCTTATTAGCAGCTGGCTCTTGAATTGGGTAAATCTCTGTGCATGACCACAGGTTGAGAGTAAGAAACTTGAGCAGATCTTGTTCGCAGGACTCCAGATCTTTGTGCAGGTGTGATACTTAACACATCTCAGTAAACTCAGCACTTGAGTGCTCATGTGCTCATTTATGGTAACAGTGGGGTAGAGAAGACAGAGCTGGGGCCCCAGAGTCAGGCTCAAGTCAGAAGTCTGGCTCTCCATTTATCACTGCCTGACCTTTGGCAGGTATCTTAATAACCTCTGAATCTTAGTCTCACCATCTGTAAAATGGAGACAATAAGCAGGATATGGGAGGCTTGAAATAATACTTGCAAAGTGTTGTGTTCTCCTAATTCCTCAATGAACGGCGCCAGGGATGACCGTGATGACTTGTGTGTCAGTTTTGCAAATATAGATCAACTGATCCTCATCAAAACTTTTCAATAACTAAGATGCACTTCGCCCACATGCCCAGGTTTCGGTGTGAATGCCAGCATCACACCTGTGGGGAGACGTGTGATCGCTGCTGCTCGGGGTACAATCAGAGGCGCTGGCGGCCCGCTGCGTGGGAGCAGAGCCACGAGTGTGAAGGTGGGTGTGGGGCTGGGGCGGGGCCACATGTGGCCTTCTCCCCCTCTCCCTGGGGGCGGAGGCTGTTTTCCCCACGCTAGTGAAGAGGCTGGGGTCATGTCAGTCTTAGGAGCTCAGGTCTGTCTATTGTAAGAAAAACTCACAGACTGGAAGGAAAAGTGCCCTCCTCTGAATTTAGATGTGCATATGAGAAGAAAAAGAATAGTCATGATGACGACCAGGCATGATGGGCTCAGTGCTTTAATATGTTGGCCTCTCTTTTTAGCAGTCATAAATATGATGCAGCCACTGTCAAATTTTAACCCCTTCTCCATTTCATAGGATGTGATACTGGGGAGGAATCAACTGTTTTGAGGACCAAAGTTCAGAGCAGATGGCAAGATTGAGTCTAAAGAGGAGCTGGGAGTACTGAAGGAGCATGGAGGGCTGGGGAGTGTAATGTGGTAGGATTGAGGAGGTTGGAGGGGACAGAGAAGGAAGAAGGAAAGATGGGAGACTCCTTTTAACAGTGTGACATAAAGTAAGAAAAGAGCTATTTTTTTTTAGGCCTGATGCGGTGGCTGCCAGCACTTTGGGAGGAGAAGGTGGGAGGATTGCTTGAGGCCAGGAGTTAGAGACCAGCCTGGGCAACATAGTGAGGCTCTGTCTACAAACAGTGCAGAATATAGCCAGAGGTGGTGGTGCACGCCTTTCCTCTAGCTACTTGGGAGGCGGAGGTGGGAGGATGGCTTGAGCCCAAGAGTTCGAGGTTACAGTGAGCTCTGATCCTGCCTGGGTGAAAGAATAAATTCCTGTCTGGAAAAAAAAAAAAAAAAAAAAGACAACATCTTTTTTTTTTTTTTTTTTTTTTTTTCTTTTGAGACGGAGTTTCACTCTTGTTACCCAGGCTGGAGTGCGATGGCGGGATCTCGGCTCACCGCAACCTCCGCCTCCTGGGTTCAGGCAATTCTCCTGCCTCAGCCTCCTGAGTAGCTAGGATTACAGGCACATGCCACCATGCCCAGCTAATTTTTTGTAGTTTTATAGAGATGGGGTTTCACCATGTTGACCAGGATGGTCTTGATCTCTTGACCTCGTGATCCACCCGCCTCGGCCTCCCAAAGTGCTGGGATTACAGGCGTGAGCCACCGCGCCCAGCTGAAGACAACTTATTTTTTATTTTATTTTATTTTTTGAGAAAGAGTTTTTGCTCTTGTTGCCCAGGCTGGTCAACAGGTTTCTCCATGTTGGTCAAGCTAGTCTCAAACTCCTGACCTCGTGATCGGCTTGCCTCTGCCTCCCAAAGTGCTGGAATTACAGGCTTGAGCCACTGTACCTGGCCGACAACTGTTATTTTTAACAAACAAACCTTATGACATCCAACTATAGATTTTCTTCTAAATCAATCTTCTTGGGAAGCTACATATTTATTCTTGTTGCAGAAAACATTTCATTCACTACAACCTCCACCCGCTGGGTTCAAGCAGTTTTCCTGCCTCAGCCTCCCCAGTAGCTGGGATTATGGGCACCTGCCACCATGCCCAGCCAATTTTGTTTGTATTTTTAGTAGAGATGGGGTTTCACCATGTTGGCCAGGCTGGTGTTGAACTCCTGGCCTCTTGTGATTTGCCTGTCTTGGCCTCCCAAAGTGCGGGGATTATAGGACTTTATACTTTTTGACAAATTATTTTTTGTCACTGTTAAGAGATAGGACTGATGATCTCTTATGGCCAGTAAACTTACGTAAAAGATGTTTCCAGTGGTCTTCCAGGGGAGGTTTCAGAGACGATAAAGTTCTGGGAAGGTCTTGCAGCCACCTCAGGCAAATGCTCTGGCACATTTTTGAGTCCCAGATGTTACTCAGATGGCCGTCTCACTTTATAGTCACAGCTGATTGGTTCCTTCTCAATGACTTCCCTGTTCCTCACCCCAGATGAGGGGACCAGAGAGAGAAAGATATCATAAAAATAATCAGGGGTTGTTTCTTCTGCTGCTTTCAAACACTGATTTAGGATATTTTTGATTGGATAACTGTTATTACATGAATTCCAGTATTGGAATTCAAAAAAAAAAAAAAAAGCTAGTCAACAGCTACTTGACTAGTTTTCCAGAGTAATGGAACTCTTTGTAAATAACATGCTTTACTCCAACACATGTGAAAAAAATTTATATCTCCTTTAATACGTTTTTATCCTTTTAAAATGTATCAAATGGTTAAAAGTTACAAAAATAGTACATGGAAGTCAGACCTATCAGGATCCATTTATTAGGTGTTTTCTAAATTCCATTTGAAATATGCGATTCAAAATAAACAGACTTAAGAAGTGACTGATGTAGTAAATATAAATGCCTTGAATTTTAAAAATCTTGGCACCATAGAGAAAATGAAGATAAAAAAGCATTTAGCCTGTTTTACAAGTTATAGGGTAATTTGTGTAATATCTAATTAAATCTTCCTTCACCTGGGAAATTGATTAAACCATACAAATTACTAACAAGACTTAGAAATTTTGATCTAATTGGAATATAATGAATAGATGGTCTGCCTAAGAAAGAATAAAGAATTTTACTCATGTTAAATCTTTTCATCTTGACATTGATGAAAATCCCAAATGAGTTTTAAATTATACTTTGTAATTTTGGAAATATCATATACTATTTGGTATATGTAGATAACCTGGAAATTAAAAATATATATATATATAAAGTAAAATCACCAAGAATTGAACTACCCCAACAGAGTATCTTAGTCTGTTCAGCTGCTGTAACATGTGGGTACCTTATAAACAATAGCTCAAAGTTCTGCAGGGTGGCAAATCCAGGATCACAGCACCAGCAAATTCAGTGTCTGGTAAGGGCCTTCTTTCTGGTTCATAGATGCCACTTTCTTGCTGTGTCCTTACATGGTGGAAGGGGCAAGGCAGCTCTCTGGGCCTCTTTTATAAGGGCATTTATCACCTCCCAGAGGGCCATCTCCTAATAACTGGTGATTAGGTTTCAACTATGAATTTGGGTGGGTCACAAGCATTCAGACCATAGCAGAGAGCTACTATTAATATTTTGTTAGATATTTAGTATATTTGCACATACTTTAAATACTCAATTATATCATCTACATAATTTTATATCCTAATTTTTTACTTGATGTTTTTAGATATTTCCCCATATTTTCCTAATCATTAAAAATGTTTCGGCATCATTTTTGATGGTACAGAGTTTGGTTTCAATCTGACAAGTGTTTGTTGAGTACCCACTGTGTGCTGAGAACTGTGCTCTGTTGCAAACAAAACACAGCCCAGGCTGTCATAGAACTTAGAGTCAAGCAAATGTAGTGTTGCTTGCTTAGCCATTCCCCTACAATTAAACATTAAGCTTATTCCCAGTTGATTACCATAGAGTGTTGAAATGAAAGATTTAGAGTATTGGCTGAGCATAGGTTCTGCAGTCAAACAAAGGTCAGAATTTTGCCTCTCCTACTTGTGAGCTATGTAACAATCGGCATATTCCTTAACCTCTCTAAGCCTCAGCTTTGCAACCTGGGCTATAGGGATAATGGTACCTACTTTAGAGTGTTATTGTGCAGATGAAATGAGATAATTCATGTAAAACACTTTTCACAGTGCGTTAAGAGCTCAATTACTATTGTTAGTAGTAGTAACAGTGGTAGTAATAATACTCTTTGTGCATTAAGTTTAACTGGCATTTTGATGTATATTTTTTTGACTGAAATTTTATTTTATTGAATTTTTTATGTGTAAAACATGCTGGTGAAATAAAGACACAGTAAAACAAAGATTATACAAAAAATTAATGCTGAATTAATTAATTGATTAATTGAATTAATGCTCTTTAAATACATTAGTTGTTAAGGGAAAAATTAGAGCTACATATTGGTCTTTCACAGTAATAAATAATGTTAGTGTTTAATTGCAATTAAATAGAAAAATGCCAACTAAAATAAATATATTGTTGGGCACGGTGGCTCATGCCTGCAATCACACTTTGGGTGGCCAAGGCAGGAGGATCGCTTGAGCCCAGGAGTTTGAGATCAGCCTGGACAACACAGTGAGACCTTGTCTTTACAAATAATTAAACATTGACTGATCATGGTGGCATGTGTCTGTAGTCCCAGCTACTTGGGAGACTGAGATAGGAGGATTACTAGAGCTCAGGCAGTTGAGACTGCAGTGAGCCATGACCACACCACTACACTCCATCTGGGTGACAGTGAGACCCCGTTGCAAAAGTAAATAAAATAAAATAAAATAAATATATTATTCAGGTCGTTGACCTAAAGGAAGAAGCTGTGACACAAAATACAATTTTAAAAAGTTTACTTAACTGCGGGCACGGTGGCTCACACTTGTAATTCCAGTACTTTGGGAGGCTGAGGCAGGCGGGTCACTTGATGTTAGGAGTTCAAGACCGGTCTGGCTAACATGGCAAAACCTCATCTCTACTAAAAATACAAAAGTTAATCAGGCATGGTGGCTGGTGCCTGTAGTCCCAGCTACTCAGGAGGCTGAGGTGGGTTGAACCCAGGAGGCAGAAGTGGCAGTGAGCCAAGATCATGCCACTACACTGCAGCCTGGGTGACAGCAAGTCTGTCACACACACACACACACACACAAAAGTTTACTTGAACTAAAATGAGGATAGCTGTGCCCAGGGCACGCTTCCGAGTTGCCTTGGGCAGTGCTCCTGCATTTCAATGTATCTTCCTTTGTTTTGATTATATACCTTTTTTTTGGTGGGGGGACGTGGGAGGTGGGGGGTGGAAATGGAGTCTCCCTCTGTCGCCCAGACTGAAGTGCAGTGGCATGATCTTGGCTTACTTCAACCTCTGCCTCACGTTTTCAAGGATTCTCCTGCCTCAGCCTCCCAAGTAGTTTTTTTTTTTTTTTTTTGAGACAGAGTCTTGCTCTGTCACCCAGGCTGGAGTGCAGTGGCATGATCTGGGCTCACTGCAACCTCTGCCTCCTGGGTTCAAGTGATTCTTCTGCCTCAGCCTCCCAAATAGCTGCAACTACAGGTGTTCACCACAATGCCTGGCTAATTTTTGAATTTTTAGTAGAGATGGGTTTCCCCCATATTGGCCAGGTTGGTCTCAAACTCCTGACCTCTTGATCTCCCCCTGCCCCAGCCTTGGCCTCCCAAAGTGCTGGAATTACAGGCGTTAGTCATTGTGCCCGGCCCCGAGTAGTTTTTTTTTAAAGAGGAACTTCTCTCATTGAATATCAAATGAAAGGAGCTCTAAATTGTATCTTAGTATAGCCCTCTGTCTGTGTAAAAGTGCCTAAAATTTTTTCACTAAGAGTGTCCTGGGTGTTCCAGAATAGACTTTTTCGTAGCTCAATTAGCAGTAATACTATTTACTAAGCATCTGATAGTAATGATGATAATATTGACTAGTATGCTTTTTTTCAGCATGCAACTGCCATGGCCATACTAGCGACTGTTACTATGATCCAGATGTTGAGCAGCAGCGGGCAAGCTTGAATACCCAGGGCATCTATGCTGGTGGAGGGGTCTGCATTAACTGTCAGGTGAGGCACTATTTAAACCAATGTGGATGTGTTGTCATGAGGAGTGAATATTTGGTAAGCTCTGCTCCTGAAGAGATGTCAAGAAAGTGACAGGCAATTGAAAGTGTTTTCTGAGACCATTTCTCCACTTTTGTTCATACAAGGCCTTGTTAGCAGGATATAATTTAGGGATTGTAGGGAAAATGGACTGAGGTATGTCTACCCACACCTCTTTGATCAGTTTCTCCATTTAGATCTTTGCCTAAATGGAGAGGAGGATTCCTGGCTGTTATCCCTGGCTGCTATCCATCTTGTGATAGAAAAGTTCTAAGATAGGAGGGCAATTAGTTATCAATGTTAGTGCTGACCCGACATCCTGTTTTCAGACAGATTCTGAGTTGAGACTCAGTGAGGAAATGCATCATGATCAATTAATGATGTCTTTCATAGACATCAAATATGAAACATTAATTTTTCATCCCTTCTGTAGGACAATTGGTTTCACTGGAATTTAGTTAAGGGAGTGTATGGCAGAGGAGGGTATGTCTTCATTGAGATATTCATTAAGAGTCCTGTCAAATGTCTATGAATATGGTCTATATTGTCATTCTTTCTTATGTTCTTTTAGATGTTTTGTTAATGTTACCACTGAAGAGGCATTCTTCACATGAGATGCCGATTAATATGAAACCAGGGCTACATACCCATAGAGAGAGCCACCATTCTTCACTTGTCTCCCCTCCATACTTTTATATCATCTGTTATTGCAGATAATTAAAATATAAGTAAAATATAAGTCATAGGTTTATTACAAATCACAAGGTTTCATGTGTAAGTGAGAAATACCAGGATAAGGCTAAGCATTCCAAGACCTTCAAGTGATTTGTGTGGATATTAAGTTGCAGAAGCACTGGACTAGAATGTGTAGGTAGAATCCTTTCTCCAGATGAAAGGTCAAGCCCCTTCAGTGTGTCTTTAGAATACTTTGTTATTCTTCATCAGTCTCTCAGTGTTACTATGCTTTGAACTTTGCAATTCCGGAAAACCATCAATCTAGCCTTTTCTTTTCCATGGTGGCTCTGCAGAAATATATGTGTGTGTGTGTGTGTGTGTGTGTGTGTGTGTGTGTGTGTGTGTGTGTATAAAATGAAATTATTGAACTCAAAAAAATTGCTGAACTCTTGTTTGGGTATACTGCATTTGTTTTCCAACTTAAAATGCCTTTTACTAAGTTAGATATTTAGGTATCATAATTAACTTTAAAATTTTTATGGTGGTGAAATAGACAAAATTTACAATTTTAATAATTTTTGAATGCACATTTTAGCAGCATAATTAACTTTTATATTATATTGATAAACAAAGGACAAGGAAAGAATTCTGCTTCTGTTATGCTTTAGTAGCTGCTGCAGGACCCAGCCCTTCCACAGAAGGCTGGTCTCCATTGATTGTCTTTTCTTTTCAGAATGGGTCATATTTTGCGGGTTCATATGATAAATTATGAGCAAAATACAAAAGACTAATAAACAACAAAACCACAAAGAACATGTTCTGAAAGCACTGAAGAATAAAAATAAGCAGGAAGCGGATCACGAGGTCGGAGATCGAGACCATCGTGGCCAACATGGTGGAACCCTGTCTCTACTAAAAAATACAAAAATTAGCTGGGCATGGTGGCATGTGCCTGTAATCCCAGTTATTTGGGAGGCTGAGGCAGGAGAATCGCTTGAACTAGGAAGTCAGAAGTTGCAGTGAGCAGAGATTGCACCACTGCACTCCAGCCTGGCAACAGAGCAAGTCTCAAAAAAAAGAAGGAAAAAGCAAAATGTCTGGTAGATAAAAATAAAACTAAGAGAATGTATTGCCTAAGAGACCTACACTACAAGATATGCTAAAGGAAGTTCTTTAGGTTAAAGAGAGGTAATACCAGATGGAAACTCAGATCTTTAGGAAAAAAGGAAGAGTATGTTAAATGACTGGGCAAATATAAAGTACTATTTAAAAGCAAATTCTTGGGTAGGCACAGTGGCTCACGCCTGTAATCCCAGCACTTTGGGAGGCCAAGGTGGGCGGATCACCTGAGGTCAGGATTTCAAGACCAGCCTGGCCACCCTGGCAAAACCCTGTTTTTACCAAAAAATACAAAAATTAGGTGGGCGTGGTGATGCATAACTGTAATCCCAGATAATTGGGAGGCTGAGGCATGAGAATCACTTGATCCTGGGAGACAGAGGTTGCAGTGAGCTGAGATTGCACTACTGTACTCCAGCTTGGGTAACAGAATGAGACTATCTCAAAAAAAAAAAAAAAAAAAAATTCTTCGAAGTCCTAGCCAGAGCAATCAGGTGAGAGAAAGATATAAAGACATTCAAATATGAAAAGAAAAAGTCAAACTATCTCTCTTTGTTATCATATGATTCTATACTTAGAACATTTAAGAACTCTGCCAGAAGGCTCCTGGAACTGATAAACAACTTCAGTAAAGTTTCAGGATACGAATCATGTACAAAAATTAGTAGCATTTCTACACACCAGTAATGTTCAAGTTGAGAGCCAAATCAAGAACACAGTCCCATTTACAATAACTGCAAAAAACAAACAATAAAAATACCCCAAATCTAGAAATACAGCTAACCAAGGAGGTGAAATATCTCTGCAAAGACAGCTACAAATACTGCCGAAAGAAATAATAGATGACAAAAACAAATGAAAAAACATTCCATGCTCATGTATTTCGAGAATTAGTATCATTGCAATGACACAAAGCAATCTACAGATTCAACACCATTTCTATGTCATTTTTGACAAAACTATAAAAAACTATTCTAAAATTCAGATGAAACCAAAAAAAGAGCCCAAATAGCCAAAGCAACCCTAGGCAAAAAGAACAAAGCCAAAGGCATAACATTACCTGACTTCAAACTATGCAGAATACAGAACTCAAAAATAAAGTCACACACCTACAGCCATCTGATCTTCAACAAAGTTGAAAAAAATAAGCAAAGAGGAAAGGACTGTTTTTGAGATGGAGTCTTGCTCTGCCACTCAGGCTGGAGTGCAGTGGTGCCATCACGGCTCAATGCAACCTCCGCCTCCCAGGTTTCAGTGATTCTCCTGCCTCAGCCTCTCGAGTAGCGGGGATTACAGGTGTGTGCCACCACACCTGGCTAATTTATTATTAGTAGTAGAGACAGGGTTTCACCATGTTGGCCAGGTTGGTCTCAAACTTCTGACCCCAGGTGATCCACTCACCTCAGCCTCCCAAAGTGCTGGGATTATAGGCATGAGCCACTGCACCCAGCGAGGAAAGGAATTCCTATTTAATAAATGGTGCTGAGATAGCTGGCTGTCCATGTGCAGAAAAATGAAACTGAACCCCTACTTTTCACCATATATTATACAAAAGTTAACTCAACATCAACTAAAGATTTAAAGGCAAGACCTCAAACTATAAGCATCCTAGAAGAAAAACCTAGGAAACACCATTCTGGACATTGGCCTTGGGAAATAATTTATGACTAAGTCCTCAAAAGCAATTTCATCAAAACCAAAAATTGACATATGGGACCTAATTAAACTAAGGAGCTTCTATACTGCAAAAGAAACTATCAACAGAGTAAACAGACAGCCTACCGAATGGGAGAAAATATTTGCAAACCGTGCATTGGACAAAGGTCTGATATTCAGAATCTATAAGGAACTTAAACCATTCAGCAAGCAAAAAACAAATAGCTCCATTAAAAAATGGCCAAAAGACATGAACAGACACTTTGTAGCAGAAGACATACAAGTGGCCAACAAACATACGAAAAAATGCTCCATATCACTAATCATCACAGAAATGCACATCAAAACCACAATAAGATATCATCTCCCACCAACTAGAATGGCTATTATTAAAAAGTCAAGCAACAACAGATGCTGGCCAGGTTGCAGGGAAAAGAGAATACCGATACATTGATGGTGGGAATGTAAATTATTTTAGCCACTGTGGAAAGCAGTTTGGAGCATTCTCAAAGAACTTAAAACTACGATTCAACTCAGTAACCCTATTACCTGGCATATATCCAAAAGAAATAAATTATTACACCAAAAAGACACATGCACGCATATGTTCATTGGAGCATTATTTACAATAACAAAGACATGGAATCAATCTTGATGCCTATCAGTGGTGAATTTGATAAAGAAAATGTGGTACATATGTACCATGAAATATTACACAGAGATGAAAAAAAAATAAAATCATATCTTTGCAGCAGCATGGATACAGCTGGAGGTCATTATCCTATACAAATTAATGAAAAACCAGAAAACCAAATGCCGCATGTTCTCACCTATAAGTGGGAGTTAAACACTGGGGACTCGTGGACAGTGGACATAAAGGAGGCAACAATAGACACTGGGGGCTACTAGAGAGGAGAAGGAAGGAGGGGAGCAAAGGTTGGAAAACTACCCATTGAGTACTGTGCTCAATAACTGGGTGACAGGAGCAGTCATACACCAAAACTGAGCATCATGCAATATATCCAAGTAACAAATCTGCACACGTATCCCCTGAATCTAAAATTAAAGTTGAAATTTTTTAAAAGAAAAGAATTTTAGAAAACTACCTACCTTCCCAACCCCTCTTTATTTCCAAATCTCTGCCCTTTTATGGTAATACAATGATCTGCAATTATTTTCTTTTACTCAACCCTACTTGTGTTTTAGAAGAGAGAATAAATAATGGAAAAGGAAAATAAAAAAATTTTTGTTCAATAATACTTCAATATAGGTGGAAAAATTAGAATATCTAGGGCTGCTTACAACAAAATTTATGACATTGTCTCATGGAATTTATAAAATGCCCTTAAATATGATACATATGCAACAATAGCATAAAGAATAAGGAGGACATATAGGAACTCAAAGTTTCTATAATTTTCATAAAATAATACAATATTGACTCTAATTCTACTGTGAGACACGAAGGATATACATTGTAGTCCCTAAAACAACTGCTGACAAGATAATGCAAA